AGAGAGAGAGAGAGAGAGAGAGAGAGAGAGAGAGAGAGAGAGAGAGAGAGAGAGAGAGATTTCAATGGCTCTGCATACATACACAAAAACATACTCTCTCCCTCTCAAATAAAAAATTGAAAATTACAGCCAATTCTTACGTGTCATGAGAAGTTGATGAATAGGTGAATGAAAGCATGCTACATACCACTATACAGAGTAGAAAGCCCTATAACATAATGTATGAGTCAGTATAAGCCAGCTATGTTCAATAAATCTGTTCCTAATCAGAAGATGAGCGTTTACGTTTTTCTTCTTATTTTTAACATGTATAAATATTAACATAGCTGAAGTTTTGGCATTAAGCTCAAAAAATCATATTCCTTTTATATCATTCAAACAACTCCTCGTACTGTGCTTGTTATCTTTTAATAATGCTATACTGAAAATTAATAAGGTAACTTCAATGATTATCTCTTCATTCACAGGCAATATATTTTTTTCAAAAAAATACACCTTTGTTTTAAATAAAAATAAAAGGATAAAAATAGCCCTGGTTAATAGACTTGCATATAACTGCAGATAGAATATTAAATCAGATTGCCCTTTTGAATATGACGCAAATGTGCACATAATTTCTATTGAATAGGACCACAGGCCGAATTTTCTGAAGCTATTCTCCTAATTACTCTATAAAGCAAGCAAAATGCATACAAGAAAACATAATTACTGAATATGAAACTGTTTCATAGTTGAGTGTCTAGACTGCTTATTGTATTACTTAATACCAGCCGAAGCTCCAGCAATTAAGAGAGATAAGAAAGGTTTGCCAATTTATTCAGATTCAAATGGCTTGCTTCAGACTACACACACTAAAAATGGGTTCTGTTTCTTGTCATCCTTTTCAAGAGTTTGAAAACAAGCGCTGTGATTCATATGATCGGAATATCCCAAGCAGTCATCTCTGACTTTCTGATTATAGCTCTTAAAATCTATACGTACCTCCCGCCAAACTTATCTTTCATACATTGTTTAAGAGTATGAATAGCTTATTCTTCTAAGGGGAGCAATTATATTATGTTTGCAAAATCAGTGTACTCCTCTATCACATGTTCCATGCTATAATTTTAGAACTCCCAATACGACATCATAAAGATTTCTTTATAAACAATTCATTGCAACTTTTTTTCCAAAACAAAACAAAACAAAAATGTGTCTGTTGGTTGGCAAAGAGAAATATTCAGCTTCCAAAACCAGTAATTTTCCAGTGATGCATTGCATTGGATTCACAATGACGGAAGATTTCCAAATTATTATTTTAGACACATACACACATACAAAGCGCATAAGCTGAGAAAAGAATAAAAGGAATACAAAATTCTTGAATGTAATTTAACTAGTGAAGTCTCAAGCAACCTTTTAACTAAACCTGATGCCCAGCCCATAATGAACATTGTGCAATGTACTTCAGTGTCACCATTATGTTACACTCCAACTTGAATCTAAAGGACTGTGCTATATTCTTAAACATATAAAGACTTTATAAACATATAAAGACTTTTATTTGAGAGGGAGAGAGTGTGTATTTGTGTGTGTATGCAGAGCCATTGAAATCTCTCTCTCTCTCTCTCTCTCTCTCTCTCTCTCACACACACACACACACACACACACACACAGACACACACACACAAACACAGACACAAACACAGTCACACACAGATACTCACTCACTCACTCACTCACTCATTATCCTTCTGGCTCCCTCTGTAGCTTTTGATCTTGTTAACCATTTTGTCCTCTTGCACTATTGAAATTGATTGTGGATCAGAGGTAGTGCTTCTATTTCTAAATAAGAAGTTCAGTTAAGTGTTCATGGGGAACTCTCAGGAAAAGCCCGATGAATGCCTGGATGGGACAGAGAAAATTCAGATTGAATCTCAGCAAAACATAAATACTGTCTGATTGAAGGGTAGTTTCAACTTCATCCCTGGATGCAGCTGCATTTCTTTACTGTTATACAATACAGAGGCACTTCTGGATTCACCCGGTAGATCCCACAGGATAGAGTTGTGATCAAGAAGCCTTTTGACCAGCATTGGTTGGTTTCGAGTTGTGAGTGTCCTGACTTCTGCAATTACCCCAAATGGATTTGCCCTTGAATATGACTTCAAAGCTATAATTGCTACAGAACCTCTCTGCTTGCCTGTTAATTGATGCTAACTAATGAGAACTATATTACAGGGATTTCTCTCATTACCAAATTAAGTTCCAGTCCCAATTCAAAGTGATTATTATTTACAAACACTGTAAATAATACGGGTTGTTGCTATGTTTGGAATCATCTGCTATAAGTAAAATATACCCACTGGGGACATGCAGGCAGAGGTGGGTTGCTGCGGGTACAGCCCAGTACGGCCGTACCAGTAGTGGCACGGAGCAGCTGAGAAAATACCAGTACAGTGGCTCTTTTGGCCCACCCGCCCACTATACCTGTTTTTATGAAAAATGGCAAAGTGTGCACAGTGTGCGGTGCCTGTGCGAGCCCCAACAATCAGCTAGTTGTCTCAGGGCAGTGGATTGTGTGCACAGCACAAGTCAGGTACGTGCGCAAACAGAATGTGCAAGCACGTGATCAGCATACTGGTAGTGTCAGTAAGAGCAACATAGTTGGTCTCAACATCCCAGAAACTAAAAGGAAAGTAGTTGCAAGAAGGCCTTGGTCATGGCCTCTTGTTTTGGAAAAGTTGCCCCTTAACAAATAGAATGGTTTTAGCCTGCTATTTATTTAAAATTAGTCAAGATCAAAATTCAGAGAGTGATATTCTTTTAGAGTGAAGCACTTACTGGGGATGGGGGACTGTGGGCATCATGAAGCAAGAGTTGGTATTACCATAGTATTCAACCGGTTTTATTGAAGTTAGCTTGTTGTAAAATTTTGAGTTGCTTAGAATGCATTGAGTAAGCAGAATATGTATATTATAAATCAAGAACTAATATTATAACCTGTATCACATGTTTCTAGCCTAAGTGAAATCAAGCATAGGATTAAAGCATAGGTTGACAGCAAAAACTGTCAATTAATGGGTAGTTTCTCTGTTTTCTAAATCTAACAAAACTACATTTACAAAAATATGTGAATCTGGTAGGCTGCAAAAGAACTTATGGTTCTCGTATTTGAAACACACACACACACACACACACACACACACACACACACACACACACACACACACCAAAGACACTTTCCTATTCTTTCCCTGATAAAATTTCCTTTCTCTTTTAGTGGAAGAAGACACAGAAGAAAGTTCACGATCTGGTAGAGAATCTGTGTCCACATCTAGTGACCAACCATCCCATTCTCTAGAAAGACACATGAATGGCAATCAGGAGAAAGGGGACCGGAAAAAAATTGGGAAGGACAAGAAAAAAGATCGAGATAAAGAGAAGGATAAAATCAAAGCCAAGAAAGGAATGCTCAAAGGTCTTGGGGACATGTTCAGGTAGGAATTGCAGAAAAGCTTAAATGTTTATGTCTCATTGTGTTTTGCTATTCATCTTAACATTATTTATTGCTCACTATCCATTTCCAAAATACGAATACTGTGGATACAGTTAAAATTTGATATTGAATGTTTTGTCAGTCATTCACCATTGCAGTCTTACAAATATTCCATCAGAATCCATTTATTTTTCTGAGATTAATGCATCTGGATGAAAGACAATATTCTCACAAACCAAAGGAATACCGTACTAACGTGGTTTCTTTAAAGGAGATGAGGGAAGGAAAAGGATGACCTGTGGCATAAATAGTTAACTGTGTTCTGTACACAATGAGATAATAATAGAGTAGAATTCTTTATTGACCAAGTGTGATTAGACACACAGGGAATTTGTTTCCGGTGATATCATTAACATGGTCATTGTAAAATACATTCTTCATAAAACATTAGCTACAACACTTGGTGATAGTCATGAATACTAAATAATGCACGTTCCAGAATACTAGCATCATCCTGGCTTAGACATAACTGAATGATAATCCTAGATATTTTGTACATTTATGATAATGTATTACTAAAATTCTGCCATGGCCCAATTCCTATCAGCATAAATTCAAATGTTACCATGGAAAATATGCTTAGTGTAATATGCTGAGATGTCTTGTGAAATTTGGGCAACATATGCCACTGTTTCATTTCTGGAGAAAATTTCCTAACTGCCAAACAGGAATGTATTTGTTATTTGCATATGATTATGAATTTAGCAAAATAGATTCAGCCACAATTATTTAAGTATAGTCTTATAGTTGTTAATGAATGATGAATTGGTTATGTGGAATGTGAGCATATCCTCTGATCAAGTTCTCTTGAAGACAACACTTACCTCAAGTACACCTCAGTTTTCTAAAACTGTTTTGGTCTGTGTTGCTCCCTGATTTCATACTGCACTTTCCATGGGTAGCAATAAAACATAACCTGTGGAGAGCACAAATCAGCCAAATAAACATTGGAAAAAATTAATATTAGAGTATACAGGTTACTTAGGATTCAATCTGTGCGGAGGTATCCCAACTTAATGTGATCACATGTCTTATCAAGTTCTTATTAATAGATATGCGTACAGTAATTGTCTTTATTTTTTTTAAAGAACATGCAGTCAATTCATTGTGGAGTCATGTTTTTTTAAATCTTTCATTACAAAAGCAACAATGTGAACATTAATTATATTTATAAGAACTTTTGGCTATTGTAATGTTTATATTGATGAATTTGCATATAACTGGGCTATCTGAGGGATTAGCTCTCCCAAGTTACATCAGGCAACTTCATTAGATCTGCCATAGAAGGCATGCTGCAGATACCTTCAGCTATGGACCTCCATTTTATGGCCCTCAGGAGCCATGCTTTCTTTATTGTGGCACACTCCTTATGAAGCATTATTTCTCCTGAACTTAGATGAGCCCCATGTCTTTTGATAATCCAGAAGGCTTTCAAGATCTGGTTATGTTATCAGACCTCAGACTCCCAGAGATATGATTAGATGGATCCATTCCTGAATTGGCTATTTTTATTCCCTCTTCATCTATAATTTTTAATCTTTGTTTTTATAATATTTAAAGTTAGTTTTTATATATATTTTTATGTTTGTGGTGTTCTTACCACAACATTTGTTGTGCTCTGCCCAGAGTTGCCTTTGGTGAGATGGGCAGGTATGTAAATTAGATAAAATAAAATAAAATTTTCTCATTAACAATATATTCAAATTCATGCTGGGCCACTACAAGAAGTCTCATTTGTATGTTTCTAGTCAGCTGAATGCTATCACAATATCCCTAGACATATAGCAATGAGAACAAAATCACTTTCTGAGAAGGATAATACTTTGCTTTGTAAGTATCAGATTTCCTTCCAAAGCAATGAGCTTGCAGATGTAAGAAGCAAGTTCTATCTGAATCAAATGAGAAGGTTTTATTTTTTAGCTTCAGTTACTTATTGTGTAGCAAATGCTGTAAGTCTTCATTCATAGTTCTTGTTGAAACATGTCATGAAATATTGTAAAAAAAATCTCTTTCTAATTTGATGTTCAAAACTGGTCTTTTTTTGTTTACATCGGTATTGGTTTATTCCTCCCTTTCTTTATTTTATTTTTTATAGATCTCTAAGAGACTGATTTATTTGTTTGTTTGTTTGTTTATTTATTTATTTATTTGGAACATTGCTTTTCCTTATAGCGTCAATACCATACATAAGAAGCATGAGCCTATTAATGATAATCAGAGGAATGTAGGATTCAGTATTACCCCCATTACTTACACAAACACACATACACCAGAAGTAATATTCAGCAGGTTCTGATCAGTTTTGGAGAACCAGTAGTGGAAATTTTGAATCGTCCGGAGAACCAGTAAATGTCACCTCTGACTGCCCCTGCCCCCATCTATCCCAGCTGATCGGGAGGGAATGAGGATTTTGCAATAACCTTCCCCTGGAGTGTAGAGGGAATGGAGATTTTACAATATCCTTCCCCTGGAGTGGGGAGGGAATGGAGATTTTACAATATCCTTCCCCTGGAGTGGGGAGGGAATGGAGATTTTACAGTATCCTTTCCCTGAAGTGGGGAGGGAGTGGAGATTTTACAGTATCCTTTCCCTGAAGTGGGGAGG